AACAGCTAAAATAACAAAACCTGTTAGGGCCAAATATTTCTGGCCCTAACTGTAAATTGTAGTCAATGGCCTGTAGAGAGTCACAAGCAGTGGCGGAGCTAGACTTTTTTTCAAGGGGTGGCCAAAGGGTGAGCAAGGCTTCATCAGAGGGTCCATATACAAATGATGAACGAAAGGAAACAAATATTTTCTCACACACACTCAAATTTAAATGGTTTATTTAACTAAGATTTGCCATGACCAAACAAGATGTTAAACGGCTCTATGGACCAGTGAACATGTAAATGTAAACTCAGAGCCCAGAATATCACCAAAAACAAATTCTCAAAAATAAATAAATAAATAAACTGGTCCTTCTGGTGTGCAATAGGTTGTGCTGGGTGGGGGCAGTTCAGTGCCATTTCCTTCTGCTTCACTGTCTTCCTCCCCAGAGTCTGAATCTGAATCTGTATCACCCTCATCTCTCTCTGGAACTTCATTGGAAATACATAAACAGACACAATAAAAAATGCAAAAAGCATCATGCTAACCTTTAGAATTAGGCTTATTGGATTTTAATACTTAATAACTTTCTGTCAGCCTCTAACCCGCTGGTGATACACTTGGGCCTGGAGTCTCCTGGCTGGATTCTCCAGGTTGGTCACTGCTGCAGAGTTCTGTCTGGTCCTGGTCACTGCTGCAGGGTTCTGTCTGGTCCTGGTCACTGCTGCAGGGTTCTGTCTGGTCCTGGTCACTGCTGCAGGGTTCTGTCTGGTCCTGGTCACTGCTGCAGGGTTCTGTCTGGTCCTGGTTTTGCCTCTTTAAGAAGAACTGGGAGATCTTCCCTTTTCTCTTCATTTGGGCTCTACACAAAATAAGACAGCCTGGTATTTAGACTCCATGACTGTTTGGCAGAGACAACATTATTTTAACTATTATTTAAACTATAGTTTTTAGTTTTCTGTAGCTAGCTAAAATACTAAATTAAAAATACATTAATTAAAATTAATTAATATAAAGTGAGGTTATAATTCAAAGCTTTCATATGACATAGCCTACTTACATTTCAGTCATTATAAAACTTAATGGTTTTTCACATATTCTTACCACACATTTCAAGCAAGAGCTGGGAGATATAAAACATTAGAGGGCAGCATGTCACTAAAACATTATGTTAAAAGATTCTGTCTAAAACACGATCTACCAGCACTAGCATGGCTAATATAATAAACGAGGCACTATGCAGCGGTGCACAACCATTTCTTTTTTTCTTTTTAGAAATGTATGACAAGTGCCGCCTCTCATTAGGAAGGTAACAGCGGTTACTGCTGGGCGGTAAAAAGTTGTAAATACCTGCAAAACTCCTGACGGTGTAACTCTGAAGCCGCGGATGTGTTTTGGATCAAGCAGGAACCAACATGGCAGTTTAACCAATGAACAGCGTCGGGCATCGGGCTGCCTTCAGGGACAGTCGGAAATTACAGTTTTCCTGGCAAATTTTTGCCGATCTCATAAGTATTATATTTTAAAATGACCATTTCCAGAGAGGTGGCACTAGGGGGGGCAAGGGCTCTGTTGGGGGTGGCAAGTGCCACCCCCAACAGACCCCTCTGGCTCCGCGACTGGTCACAAGCATGTTGACTAGCATGGACTTGAATCATTCAGCATGTTAAAGTTAATGTGTAAGCTAAAATTAGCCAGAAAGCTAATGTAAGCCTAAATGCTGTCAGTAGCATGTGCAGTGTCATTAGAATGTTTTCTCACATTGACTTGGTACATTCAGTGTTCTAAACATTGCTAAGAAGTAACAAAAATAGCTAAAAGCTTAATTAAGGTAAAAGGCTAATGCTAATGTTCTGCATTGCTGTGCAATACAGAACCCTGACCTGATAAAAAACATAATGCACTGCCTACGGCGCTGCACTAGCCAGAGACAAACCTTAAGGCTTCTATTTAGAAATTTTCAGGAAGCATAATTTTAAATGTCCAACCTAATCCCATGAGTAACATTGATTGGTTAAATAATTTATAAAATGCCCAAAACAGCAATAATCTGATGATAAATTTGTCAAGGCTTTTATTTTGACATTTTCAGTAAGCTTAATTTAAAATTGAAACAATAGAAGCAATACAAACAACAGAAACAACTGAAACATTAGAAACATTCGAAATAATAAAAACAATAGAAGCAATAGAAACAAATGAAACATTGAAAACAATAGAAACAATAGAAACAATAGAAATTAGAAAAAATAGAAACATTACAAACAATAGAATCAACAGAAACAATAAAATCATTAGAAACATTAGAAACAATAGAATTAACAGAAACAATAGAAACAATAGAAACAACAGAAACATTAGAAACAATAGAAACAATAGAATCAACAGAAACATTAGAAACAATAGAAACATTAGAAACAATAGAATCAACAGAAACAATAGAAACATTAGAAACAACTGAAACATTAGAAACATTAGAAACAATAGAATCAACAGAAACATTAGAAACATTAGAAACAATAGAATTAACAGAAACAGTAGAAACATTAGAAACAATAGAAACAATAGAAACAATAGAACCAATAGAAACAACAGAAACATTAAAAACAATAGAAACAACAGAAACAATTGAAACATTGGAAACAATAGAATCAACAGAAACAATAGAAACAACAGAAACAATGGAAACAATAGAAACAACAGAAACATTAGAAACAATAGAAACAATAAAATCAACAGAAACAATAGAAACAACAGAAACAATGGAAACAATAGAAACAATAGAAACATTAGAAACAATAGAATCAACAGAAACAATAGAAACATTAGAAACAACTGAAACATTAGAAACATTAGAAACAATAGAATCAACAGAAACAATAGAAACAATAGAAACAACAGAAACAATTGAAATATTAGAAACAATAGAAACATTAGAAACAATAGAATCAACAGAAACATTAGAAACATTAGAAACAATAGAATTAACAGAAACAGTAGAAACATTAGAAACAATAGAAACAATAGAAACAATAGAACCAATAGAAACAACAGAAACATTAAAAACAATAGAAACAACAGAAACAATTGAAACATTGGAAACAATAGAATCAACAGAAACAATAGAAACAACAGAAACATTAGAAACAATAGAAACAATAAAATCAACAGAAACAATAAAAACAATAGAATCAACAGAAACAATAGAAACAACAGAAACATTAGAAACAATAGAAGCAATAGAAACAATAGAATCAACAGAAACAACAGAAACATTAGAAACAATAGAACCAATAGAAACAACAGAAACATTAAAAACAATAGAAACAACAGAAACAATTGAAACAGGAAACAATAGAAACATTAGAAACAATAGAAACAATAAAATCAACAGAAACAATAAAAACAACAGAAACATTAGAAACAATAGAAACAATAGAAACAACAGAAACATTAGAAACAATAAAATCAACAGAAACAGTAAAAACAATAGAATCAACAGAAACAATAGAAACAACAAAAACATTAGAAACAATAGAATCAACAGAAACAGTAGAAACAACAGAAACATTAGAAACAATAGAATCAATAGAAACAATTGAAACATAAGAAACAACAAAAACATTAGAAACAATAGAAGCAATAGAAACAATAGAATCAACAGAAACAGTAGAAACAACAGAAACATTAGAAACAATAGAATCAACAGAAACAATAGAATCAACAGAAACAGTAGAAACAACAGAAACATTAGAAACAATAGAATCAATAGAAACAATAGAAACAATTGAAACATAAGAAACATAGAAAACAATAGAAACAATAGCGACAGTTTCTTTTATTTTAATCGATAAAATATGTAACAAAAAGAAAAGTGCCTGGATTAACGATGACGGGTTTTGGATGTGGAGGTCAGTTTTTCTGGTTTTTAGTCTTTACCATTTCAAGCTTCATTGATGAAAGAATATTTCGTGTTTTATATTACATTGAGAACAGTGGGGACACAATAATGGCATGAATCCATGTTTTACTGGTGTCAGCATGACGTCATGACTGAATGAACATCATTCTAAGCTTTTTGTAACGATGAACAGTTTCCATTTCCAACAAATGTTGAAAAAACATTCATCTTGTTTCCACATATCATCTTTATTTTCTGGTTTTCTCTCCATTGAAGCTGCATCACCTGTTTCACATGAACGCAGAAAGTTCTCCTGGTTCCGATCTGCCAAACCTCCATCGGTGGTGGCAGATTCATGATGAACTGATTGATAAAATATGATTGACAGGAATGGATTATTAATTGGAGCCTGATGTGCCAGATGACTTGTTGTGATTTCTAACTTTATAAACCAAGTAAATAAAATGGAAGCTGCACTTTCGGTCAGTGTCCACCAGGTGTCCCTCTTCCCTTTCTGATCGCTGATCACTAATCGATGAGAAATCTGATCAGGACACAATCAGATGGCTGACATCTCGCCCCTTATCGCGAGATCTCCTCTAAATCTCCAAGGGAAGGTGAATCACAGTCACACGCGCTCTGACGCTCCCCTGTTGATGTTCTGCGCTTGCGCGGTGCGTCGATGCCAGAACTGAGGTACCGAGCTGTTGTTACTGAAGCCGACCTGAACAGAACCCCCCCCACAGCCCGTCCGATCCGTCCCACCAGAACCAGCAGAGGTTCGGAGCCGGCCCGGCTTGGCCCGGAGCATCGCGAGTCCAGCGGAGACAGCCGAACCGGGCCGAAGCGGGCCGAAGCAGCCACCGCAGACACGGAGGTGGGCTCACTGCAGAACCGGGACCAGACGGAGTCCGGAACACAGCCAGGCGCTCTCAGTGGAGCTTCCGGAACCAAGGTCCAGATGAGGTTTCGGTTCTGTTCCGCAGGCTGACCCGTCTCCTGATGTCCTCACAGCTGTCTCACCTGGCAGTCTGAACCCAGGGTTTACTGCGCCCTTCCGCAGGCGGCATCCATCTGGAGGACAATCTGGGACAGAAACCAACATCTGGAGGAGAAAGGAGACAAAACCAGCCGGAGACACGGAGAAGACCTGGAAGACGTCCGGGAGAGGGACAGACATCACCTGGAGAGACCTAGAGACACCTGGAGACACCTGGAGACGTTTTAAGGTAAAATGGATTTTAAGGAAGCCCGGTCAGAACAACCTGACAGGCAGGAAGACGGACGTGGAAATGATTAAAAATGAGAAGTTGTAATATTTAGCGTTCAGGGACAGAGACGGGGTTGGACACAGAGGGACATGCACTGACAGGGCTGGACATTTATTGTATCATTTATCATATGTTGTGTTAAATTTCATTCATAAGAATTTAAATGGATCATCATCGTGTCAGGATTAATAGTTTTCCACTGTTTGTTCAACAAAAGCATCAATAAATAAGTTTGGAAAGCTGCAGGAATCTGTTCAAAACCAAGATTGGAAAAGATTCTTATCGCCACTTCTGTCATTATCACAGTCCTAAATATTGTGCGAACGCTTTGGGTCCAGGTGTTAGTCTGGCCCCACTGACGTTTGGGTTTTTCCTTCCTGGCAGGTTCCATGTAACCGGACCGGCAGACATGGACCTGCACCGTTGGACCTGCTTCCCAATCCTTGGCGTCCTCATGCTGGTTCTGGTGCAGGTCGTGGTCCAGGCCCGCTCTGCGGCAGCGGGACGCGCTGACAGGAACTCCATCGAGGACGCCACGGTGAACGCCACCGTCATGGACCGAGGGTCCCCCGTCCACACGATGAGCAGCGAGGACGGGACGTACGGCCAGGACTCTCCCAAGATGGACGCCCGGGGCATCGTCCTCACGCCGGCGCCGCATCGTGGAGGTACTCGCGTCACAGGTCACATGACCTACCTGACACTGCCTCAGAGTCCCAGGTGTTAGTCTGGTCCTAGAGATTGGGAGTAATAACTGGAAGCTGGTTTCACCTCGTTAACGTCTGAATCTGCAAATCTGCACTGAGCTCTGGACCTGACTGTTGTCATGGCAACTGTCTTGTAGTCTTCTGCTGCAGCCGTGAGTTTTTCTCGCAGTCGCTGCTGCAGCTGAGTTTAGGACGCAGCGGCTTTGAGTCCGGCTGAGACACTGCAGAGGTTTTCTGGCTGCTGAAGGACGGAGCGTCTCTCTGGTCTGGAGTGTCAGATTACAGTCAGGCGCTGCAAGGACACTGCAGAGAGGAGCTGAAGGAGCTGCTGCAGCTGCTGCTGCTGCTGCAGCTGCTGCTGCTGCTGCAGCTGCTGCAGCTGCTGCTGCTGCTGCAGCTGCTGCTGCTGCTGCAGCTGCTGCTGCTGCTGCAGCTGCTGCTGCTGCTGCTGCAGAGAAACCTGCTGCTGCTGCTGCTGCTGCTGCTGCAGAGAAACCTGCTGCTGCTGCTGCTGCTGCTGCAGCTTCTACTGCTGGTGGCTTGATCACACAGAGTCAGGACCTGAAATGGTTCCTCCTTTAAACAGGGGGAGTGTTGTTGTTACAGACAGGAAGTGTTGTTGTTACAGACAGGAAGTGTTGTTGTTACAGACAGGAATTGTTGTTGTTACAAACAGGAAGTGTTGTTGTTACAGACAGGAAGTGTTGTTGTTACAAACAGGAAGTGTTGTTGTTACAGAGAGGAAGTGTTGTTGTTACAGACAGGAATTGTTGTTGTTACAAACAGGAAGTGTTGTTGTTACAGACAGGAAGTGTTGTTGTTACAAACAGGAAGTGTTGTTGTTACAAACAGGAAGTGTTGTTGTTACAGACAGGAAGTGTTGTTGTTACAGACAGGAAGTGTTGTTGTTACAAACAGGAAGTGTTGTTGTTACAGACAGGAAGTGTTGTTGTTACAGACAGGAAGTGTTGTTGTTACAAACAGGAAGTGTTGTTGTTACAGACAGGAAGTGTTGTTGTTACAGACAGGAAGTGTTGTTGTTACAGACAGGAAGTGTCGTTGTTACAGACAGGAATTGTTGTTGTTACAAACAGGAAGTGTTGTTGTTACAGACAGGAAGTGTTGTTGTTACAGACAGGAAGTGTTGTTGTTACAGACAGGAAGTGTTGTTGTTACAGACAGGAATTGTTGTTGTTACAGACAGGAAGTGTTGTTGTTACAGACAGGAAGTGTTGTTGTTACAAACAGGAAGTGTTGTTGTTACAGACAGGAAGTGTTGTTGTTACAGACAGGAATTGTTGTTGTTACAAACAGGAAGTGTTGTTGTTACAGACAGGAAGTGTTGTTGTTACAAACAGGAAGTGTTGTTGTTACAGACAGGAAGTGTTGTTGTTACAGACAGGAAGTGTTGTTGTTACAAACAGGAAGTGTTGTTGTTACAGACAGGAAGTGTGTTGTTACAGACAGGAAGTGTTGTTGTTACAAACAGGAAGTGTTGTTGTTACAGACAGGAAGTGTTGTTGTTACAGACAGGAAGTGTTGTTGTTACAGACAGGAAGTGTTGTTGTTACAGACAGGAATTGTTGTTGTTACAAACAGGAAGTGTTGTTGTTACAGACAGGAAGTGTTGTTGTTACAAACAGGAAGTGTTGTTGTTACAGACAGGAAGTGTTGTTGTTACAGACAGGAAGTGTTGTTGTTACAACAGGAAGTGTTGTTGTTACAGACAGGAAGTGTTGTTGTTACAGACAGGAAGTGTTGTTGTTACAGACAGGAATTGTTGTTGTTACAAACAGGAAGTGTTGTTGTTACAGACAGGAAGTGTTGTTGTTACAAACAGGAAGTGTTGTTGTTACAGAGAGGAAGTGTTGTTGTTACAGACAGGAATTGTTGTTGTTACAAACAGGAAGTGTTGTTGTTACAGACAGGAAGTGTTGTTGTTACAAACAGGAAGTGTTGTTGTTACAAACAGGAAGTGTTGTTGTTACAGACAGGAAGTGTTGTTGTTACAGACAGGAAGTGTTTGTTGTTACAAACAGGAAGTGTTGTTGTTACAGACAGGAAGTGTTGTTGTTACAGACAGGAAGTGTTGTTGTTACAAACAGGAAGTGTTGTTGTTACAGACAGGAAGTGTTGTTGTTACAGACAGGAAGTGTTGTTGTTACAGACAGGAAGTGTTGTTGTTACAAACAGGAAGTGTTGTTGTTACAGACAGGAAGTGTTGTTGTTACAGACAGGAAGTGTTGTTGTTACAGACAGGAAGTGTTGTTGTTACAGACAGGAATTGTTGTTGTTACAGACAGGAAGTGTTGTTGTTACAGACAAGTGTTGTTGTTACAAACAGGAAGTGTTGTTGTTACAGACAGGAAGTGTTGTTGTTACAGACAGGAATTGTTGTTGTTACAAACAGGAAGTGTTGTTGTTACAGACAGGAAGTGTTGTTGTTACAAACAGGAAGTGTTGTTGTTACAGACAGGAAGTGTTGTTGTTACAGACAGGAAGTGTTGTTGTTACAAACAGGAAGTGTTGTTGTTACAGACAGGAAGTGTTGTTGTTACAGACAGGAAGTGTTGTTGTTACAAACAGGAAGTGTTGTTGTTACAGACAGGAAGTGTTGTTGTTACAGACAGGAAGTGTTGTTGTTACAGACAGGAAGTGTTGTTGTTACAGACAGGAATTGTTGTTGTTACAAACAGGAAGTGTTGTTGTTACAGACAGGAAGTGTTGTTGTTACAAACAGGAAGTGTTGTTGTTACAGACAGGAAGTGTTGTTGTTACAGACAGGAAGTGTTGTTGTTACAAACAGGAAGTGTTGTTGTTACAGACAGGAAGTGTTGTTGTTACAGACAGGAAGTGTTGTTGTTACAAACAGGAAGTGTTGTTGTTACAGACAGGAAGTGTTGTTGTTACAGACAGGAATTGTTGTTGTTACAAACAGGAAGTGTTGTTGTTACAGACAGGAAGTGTTGTTGTTACAAACAGGAAGTGTTGTTGTTACAGACAGGAAGTGTTGTTGTTACAGACAGGAAGTGTTGTTGTTACAAACAGGAAGTGTTGTTGTTACAGACAGGAAGTGTTGTTGTTACAGACAGGAAGTGTTGTTGTTACAGACAGGAAGTGTTGTTGTTACAGACAGGAAGTGTAGTTGTTACAGACAGAAAGTGTTGTTGTTACAGACAGGAATTGTTGTTGTTAACAAAACAGGAAGTGTTGTTGTTACAGACAGGAAGTGTTGTTGTTACAAACAGGAAGTGTTGTTGTTACAGACAGGAAGTGTTGTTGTTACAGACAGGAAGTGTTGTTGTTACAAACAGGAAGTGTTGTTGTTACAGACAGGAAGTGTTGTTGTTACAGACAGGAATTGTTGTTGTTACAAACAGGAAGTGTTGTTGTTACAGACAGGAAGTGTTGTTGTTACAGACAGGAAGTGTTGTTGTTACAAACAGGAAGTGTTGTTGTTACAGACAGGAAGTGTTGTTGTTACAGACAGGAAGTGTTGTTGTTACAGACAGGAAGTGTTGTTGTTACAGACAAGAAGTGTTGTTGTTACAGACAGGAAGTGTTGTTGTTACAGACAGGAAGTGATGTTGTTACAGACAGGAAGTGTTGTTGTTACAAACAGGAAGTGTTGTTGTTACAGACAGGAAGTGTTGTTGTTACAGACAGGAAGTGTTGTTGTTACAAACAGGAAGTATTGTTGTTACAGACAGGAAGTGTTGTTGTTACAGACAGGAAGTGTTGTTACAGACAGGAAGTGTTGTTGTTACAGACAGGAAGTGTTGTTGTTACAGACAGGAAGTGATGTTGTTACAGACAGGAAGTGTTGTTGTTACAGACAGGAAGTGTTGTTGTTACAGACAGGAAGTGATGTTGTTACAGACAGGAAGTGTTGTTGTTACAGACAGGAAGTGTTGTTGTTACAGACAGGAAGTGTTGTTGTTACAGACAGGAAGTGATGTCAGAGCCGGTGCAGTTTAATCTAGGAATATTATTATTTCGTCAGTTCAGCTCCAGAACCGGTCCAGACATGTTCTGGGCTCCTCTGATTGGTTTGTTCTGACGTCTCACTGCTGCCACATTCTTAAAGTGTCCCACATCATGATACCACCTCTACCTCTGCCTGATGTATGGCAAGCTGTTTGGCCATTTAAATGTGTGTACCTCAAATAAAAACTCTGGACCTCCATCTTGGGGGCAGTAACCATGGTAACGGTGTCTCCTCAGTGGTGGACCGGCAGGGCTGCGACCCGAACACCCGCTTCCTGCTTCCGCCACGCAGCGTCCACTGGGTGGCGCTGCTGCAGCGAGGGAACTGCACCTTCAGGGAGAAGATCCTGAAGGCCGCCGCCTACAACGCCACGGCAGTCTGGTCTACAACAACTCCACCGACAAGACCGTCAAGATGGGCCACGAAGGTCAGAACCGGGTCAAAAGACACTGACAGCCCAGATCTGAACCGGGTCAGAACCTGCAGAGTGTCCTTCCTGGCGATCGATGAGAGTAAATTCAACCGCCAGCCCAAGTTGGCTTTCTCTCTGACCTGTGAGGCGGTTCTGACCTGGAAATCAACCAGATCACACAGAACCTGCTGCCTGGTTCTGAAGGAGAGGCTGGTGTAATGTGATCAGCAGAATCGGGTCAGCTTCTGTTCAGTTCTGATTTATAGAATCGGGCCGGGTTCTGTTCGGTTCTGTGTGCAGGTACAGGCGACATCGTCGCGGTGATGATCACAGAGGCGTACGGGAAGGAGATCCTGGCCACCTGGATCGGAACCTGACGGTACTGGCCTCTCTGGGCTTCCGTAGTCCCAGCAGGAACCTGAACCGCGGATCGCTCGTCTTCGTCTCCGTCTCCTTCATCGTCCTCATGATCATCTCCTCCGCCTGGCTCGTCTTCTACTTCATCCAGAAGATCCGCTACGGCGCCGGCCGCCACCGCAGCCAGGTGAGACGGCTGAGGCGGCAGTTAGGCTAGGCTAGATGAGGCTAGGTTAGATGAGGCTAGGCTAGGGTAGATGAGGCTAGGCTAGATGACGCTAGGCTAGATGAGGCTAGGCTAGATGAGGCTAGGCTAGGCTAGATGAGGCTAGGCTGGGCTAGATGAGGCTAGGTTAGATGAGGCTAGGCTAGATGAGGCTAGGATCGATGAGGCTAGGTTAGATGAGGCAAGGTTAGATGAGGCTAGGCTGGGCTAGATGAGGCTAGGCTAGGCTAGATGAGGCTAGGCTGGGCTAGATGAGGCTAGGCTAGATGAGGCTAGGTTAGATGAGGCTAGGCTAGGCTAGATGAGGCTAGGCTGGGCTAGATGAGGCTAGGCTAGGCTAGATGAGGCTAGGCTGGGCTAGATGAGGCTAGGCTAGATGAGGCTAGGTTAGATGAGGCTAGGCTAGATGAGGCTAAGCTAGATGAGGCTAGGATCGATGAGGCTAGGCTAGGCTAGATGAGGCTAGGCTGGGCTAGATGAGGCTAGGCTAGATGAGGCTAGGCTGGGCTAGATGAGGCTAGGCTAGATGAGGCTAGGCTGGGCTAGATGAGGCTAGGCTAGGCTAGATGAGGCTAGGCTAGGGTAGATGAGGCTAGGCTAGATGACGCTAGGCTAGATGAGGCTAGGCTAGATGAGGCTAGGGCTAGGCTAGATGAGGCTAGGCTGGGCTAGATGAGGCTAGGTTAGATGAGGCTAGGATCGATGAGGCTAGGTTAGATGAGGCTAGGCTGGGCTAGATGAGGCTAGGCTAGATGAGGCTAGGTTAGATGAGGCTAGGCTAGGCTAGATGAGGCTAGGCTGGGCTACATGAGGCTAGGCTAGGCTAGATGAGGCTAGGCTGGGCTAGATGAGGCTAGGCTAGATGAGGCTAGGTTAGATGAGGCTGGGTTAGATGAGGCTAAGCTAGATGAGGCTAGGATCGATGAGGCTAGGCTAGGCTAGATGAGGCTATGCTGGGCTAGATGAGGGTAGGCTAGATGAGGCTAGGTTAGATGAGGCTAGGCTAGATGAGGCTAGGCTGGGCTAGATGAGGCTAGGCTAGGCTAGATGAGGCTAGGCTAGATGAGGCTAGGCTAGGCTAGATGAGGCTAGGCTAGGCTAGATGAGGCTAGGCTAGATGAGGCTAGGCTAGATGAGGCTAGGTTAGATGAGGCTAGGCTAGGCTAAATGAGGCTAGGCTGGGTTACATGAGGCTAGGCTAGGCTAGATGAGGCTAGGCTGGGCTAGATGAGGCTAGGCTAGGCTAGATGAGGCTAGGCTAGGGTAGATGAGGCTAGGCTAGATGACGCTAGGCTAGATGAGGCTAGGCTAGATGAGGCTAGGCTAGGCTAGATGAGGCTAGGCTGGGATAGATGAGGCTAGGTTAGATGAGGCTAGGATCGATGAGGCTAGGTTAGATGAGGCTAGGTTAGATGAGGCTAGGCTGGGCTAGATGAGGCTAGGCTAGATGAGGCTAGGTTAGATGAGGCTAGGCTAGGCTAGATGAGGCTAGGCTGGGCTACATGAGGCTAGGCTAGGCTAGATGAGGCTAGGCTGGGCTAGATGAGGCTAGGCTAGATGAGGCTAGGTTAGATGAGGCTGGGTTAGATGAGGCTAAGCTAGATGAGGCTAGGATCGATGAGGCTAGGCTAGGCTAGATGAGGCTAGGCTGGGCTAGATGAGGCTAGGCTAGATGAGGCTAGGTTAGATGAGGCTAGGCTAGATGAGGCTAGGCTGGGCTAGATGAGGCTAGGCTAGGCTAGATGAGGCTAGGCTAGATGAGGCTAGGCTACGCTAGATGAGGCTAGGCTGGGCTAGATGAGGCTAGGCTAGATGAGGCTAGGCTAGATGAGGCTAGGCTAGGCTAAATGAGGCTAGGCTGGGCTACATGAGGCTAGGCTAGGCTAGATGAGGCTAGGCTGGGCTAGATGAGGCTAGGCTAGATGAGGCTAGGTTAGATGAGGCTGGGTTAGATGAGGCTAAGCTAGATGAGGCTAGGATCGATGAGGCTAGGCTAGGCTAGATGAGGCTAGGCTGGGCTAGATGAGGCTAGGCTAGATGAGGCTAGGTTAGATGAGGCTAGGCTAGATGAGGCTAGGCTGGGCTAGATGAGGCTAGGCTAGGCTAGATGAGGCTAGGCTACGCTAGATGAGGCTAGGCTGGGCTAGATGAGGCTAGGCTAGATGAGGCTAGGTTAGATGAGGCTAGGCTAGATGAGGCTAAGCTAGATGAGGCTAGGATCGATGAGGCTAGGTTAGATGAGGCTAGGCTGGGCTAGATGAGGCTAGGCTAGATGAGGCTAGGTTAGATGAGGCTGGGTTAGATGAGGCTAAGCTAGATGAGGCTAGGATCGATGAGGCTAGGCTAGGCTAGATGAGGCTAGGCTGGGCTAGATGAGGCTAGGCTAGATGAGGCTAGGTTAGATGAGGCTAGGCTAGATGAGGCTAGGCTGGGCTAGATGAGGCTAGGCTAGGCTAGATGAGGCTAGGCTAGATGAGGCTAGGCTACGCTAGATGAGGCTAGGCTGGGCTAGATGAGGCTAGGCTAGATGAGGCTAGGCTAGATGAGGCTAGGTTAGATGAGGCTAGGCTAGGCTAAATGAGGCTAGGCTGGGCTACATGAGGCTAGGCTAGGCTAGATGAGGCTAGGCTGGGCTAGATGAGGCTAGGCTAGATGAGGCTAGGTTAGATGAGGCTGGGTTAGATGAGGCTAAGCTAGATGAGGCTAGGATCGATGAGGCTAGGCTAGGCTAGATGAGGCTAGGCTGGGCTAGATGAGGCTAGGCTAGATGAGGCTAGGTTAGATGAGGCTAGGCTAGATGAGGCTAGGCTGGGCTAGATGAGGCTAGGCTAGGCTAGATGAGGCTAGGCTACGCTAGATGAGGCTAGGCTGGCTAGATGAGGCTAGGCTAGATGAGGCTAGGTTAGATGAGGCTAGGCTAGATGAGGCTAAGCTAGATGAGGCTAGGATCGATGAGGCTAGGTTAGATGAGGCTAGGATGGGCTAGATGAGGCTAGGTTAGATGAGGCTAGGCTAGATGAGGCTAGGCTAGATGAGGCTAGGCTAGACTAGATGAGGCTAGGCTAGATGAGGCTATGATCGATGTGGCTAGGTTAGATGAGGCTAGGCTGGGCTAGATGAGGCTAGGCTAGATGAGGCTAGGTTAGATGAGGCGGCTAGATGAGGCTAGGTTAGATGAGGCTAGGCTAGGCTAGATTAGGCTAGGCTAGATGAGGCTAGGCTAGGCTAGATGAGGCTATGATCGATGTGGCTAGGTTAGATGAGGCTAGGCTGGGCTAGATGAGGCTAGGCTAGATGAGGCTAGGTTAGATGAGGCTAGGCTAGATGAGGCTAGGTTAGATGAGGCTAGGCTAGATTAGGCTAGGCTAGGCTAGATGAGGCTAGGCTACGCTAGATGAGGCTAGGCTGGGCTAGATGAGGCTAGGCTAGATGAGGCTAGGTTAGATGAGGCTAGGCTAGATGAGGCTAAGCTAGATGAGGCTAGGATCGATGAGGCTAGGTTAGATGAGGCTAGGATGGGCTAGATGAGGCTAGGTTAGATGAGGCTAGGCTAGATGAGGCTATGATCGATGTGGCTAGGTTAGATGAGGCTAGGCTGGGCTAGATGAGGCTAGGCTAGATGAGGCTAGGTTAGATGAGGCTAGGCTAGATGAGGCTAGGCTAGGCTAGATTAGGCTAGGCTAGATGAGGCTAGGCTAGGCTAGATGAGGCTATGATCGATGTGGCTAGGTTAGATGAGGCTAGGCTGGGCTAGATGAGGCTAGGCTAGATGAGGCTAGGTTAGATGAGGCTAGGCTAGATGAGGCTAGGTTAGATGAGGCTAGGCTAGATTAGGCTAGGCTAGGCTAGATGAGGCTAGGCTAGATGAGGCTAGGCTAGGCTAGATGAGGCAAGGCTAGGCTAGATGAGGCTAGGCTGGGCTAGATGAGGCTAGGCTAGATGAGGCCTAGCTAGGCTAGATACTGGACTGCCGCCATGTTGCATTCAGGTCCAGATGGAGACTCCAAACACGGCACCTGAAGGCAGCAGGTCCTGGTGGGTGGAGTCAGGTGCTGGTTGTGGATAGAAATATTTTCTATGATCTTCAGTGATGTAACGCTCTTCTTCTTCTTCTCCTGCTACAGAGTGTATGAATGCTGGGTTTGTAGTTTTTGTTTTTCCCTAACAAACAATCTGAATGTTAATGGAGGACATGCACACAAACTGCAGGGCAGAAACTGGTTTTTAATTGTTTGTGGGCGGAGCTTTGTATCACTTCCACCAGGGACGCTTCATCCTGATTGGACGATAACGTCTGTCGTCTCTGTCCCCCAGCGTCGCCTAGGAGACGCAGCCAAGAAAGCCATCGGGAAGCTGACGACGAGGACAGTGAAGAAAGGAGACAAGGTAAACTAACATGACCAGTCGTTGATCGGACCTGCACAGAACGGTTCTGGTTCTGTTGTCATTCCTGTCTGTCCTGAAGGAAACGGACCCGGACTTCAACCACTGTGCCGTGTGCATCGAGGCGTACCAGCTGAACGACATAGTCCGGATTCTGCCCTGCAAGTGAGTCCAGAACCGGGTCCAAACCTGAAGGGGTCAGGTTTTGCTGACTGGAACCGTCCTGCATCTCTAAAAGTGTCTCAACGTGTCTCAGCATGTCTCACAGTGTCTCAGTGTGTCTCAGAGAGTCTCACAGTGTCTCAGAGTGTCTTAGTGTGTTTCAGCGTGTCTCACAGTGTCTCAGCGTGTCTCACAGTGTCTCAGTGTGTCTCACAGTGTCTCAGAGTGTCTTAGTGTGTCTCAGCGTGTCTCACAGTGTCTCAGTGTGTCTCACAGTGTCTCAGAGTGTCTTAGTGTGTCTCACAGTGTCTCAGTGTGTCTCACAGTGTCTCAGAGTGTCTTAGTGTGTTTCAGCGTGTCTCACAGTGTCTCAGCGTGTCTCACAGTGTCTCAGTGTGTCTCAGCATGTCTCACAGTGTCTCAGTGTATCTCAGCGTGTCTCACAGTGTCTCAGTGTGTCTCAGAGTGTCTTAGTGTGTCTCAGTGTGTCTCAGCGTGTCTCACAGTGTCTCAGCGTGTCTCAGAGTGTCTCAGTGTGTCTTAGTGTGTCTCACAGTGTCTCACAGTGTCTCAGAGTGTCTTAGTGTGTCTCAGTGTGTCTCAGAGTGTCTCACAGTGTCTCAGAGTGTCTTAGTGTGTCTCAGAGTGTCACAGTGTCTCAGAGTGTCTCAGAGTGTCTTAGTGTGTCTCAGTGTGTCTCACAGTGTCTCAGAGTATCTCACAGTGTCTCAGAGTGTCTTAGTGTGTCTCAGTGTGTCTCAGCGTGTCTCAGAGTGTCTCACAGTGTCTCAGAGTGCCTCACAGTGTCTCAGAGTGTCTCACAGTGTCTCAGAGTGTCTTAGTGTGTCTCAGAGTGCCTCACAGTGTCTCAGAGTGCCTCACAGTGTCTCAGAGTGTCTCACAGTGTCTCAGAGTGTCTCAGTGTGTCTCAGCGTGTCTCACAGTGTCTCAGAGTGTCTCAGTGTGTCTCAGCGTGTCTCACAGTGTCTCAGAGTGTCTCAGCGTGTTTCACAGTGTCTCAGTTTGTCTCAGTGTGTCTCAGCGTGTCTCACAGTGTCTCAGTGTGTCTCAGCGTGTCTCACAGTGTCTTAGAGCGTTTCAGAGTGTCTCAGAGTGTCTCAGAGTGTCTCACAGTGTCTCAGAGTGTCTCACAGTGTCTCAGAGTGTCTCAGCATGTCTCAGAGTGTCTCAGTGTGTCTCAGCGTGTCTCACAGTGTCTCAGAGTGTCTCACAGTGTCTCAGAGTGTCTCAGCATGTCTCACAGTGTCTCAGAGTGTCTCAGCGTGTCTCACAGTGTCTTAGAGCGTTTCAGAGTGTCTCAGAGTGTCTTAGTGTGTCTCAGCGTGTCTCAGAGTGTCTCACAGTGTCTCAGAGTGTCTCAGCATGTCTCAGAGTGTCTCAGTGTGTCTCAGCGTGTCTCACAGTGTCTCAGAGTGTCTCAGCATGTCTCACAGTGTCTCAGAGTGTCTCAGCGTGTCTCACAGTGTCTCAGTTTGTCTCAGTGTGTCTCAGCATGTCTCACAGTGTCTCAGTGTGTCTCAGCGTGTCTCACAGTGTCTCAGTGTGTCTCAGCGTGTCTCACAGTGTCTTAGAGCGTTTCAGAGTGTCTCAGAGTGTCTTAGTGTGTCTCAGCGTGTCTCACAATGTCTCAGTGTGTCTCAGCGTGTCTCACAGTGTCTCAGAGTGTCTCACAGTGTCTCAGTGTGTCTCAGCGTGTCTCACAGTGTCTCAGTGTGTCTCAGCGTGTCTCACAGTGTCTTAGAGCGTTTCAGAGTGTCTCAGAGTGTCTTAGTGTGTCTCAGCGTGTCTCACAGTGTCTCAGCGTGTCTCACAGTGTCTCAGTGTGTCTCACAGTGTCTCAGAGTGTCTCACAGTGTCTCAGAGTGTCTTAGTGTGTCTCAGAGTGTCTCACAGTGTCTCAGAGTGTCTCAGAGTGTCTTAGTGTGTCTCAGTGTGTCTCACAGTGTCTCAGAGTATCTCACAGTGTCTCAGAGTGTCTTAGTGTGTCTCACAGTGTCTCAGAGTGTCTCAGCGTGTCTCACAGTGTCTCAGTGTGTCTCAGCGTGTCTCAGAGTGTCTCACAGTGTCTCAGAGTGCCTCACAGTGTCTCAGAGTGTCTCACAGTGTCTCAGAGTGTCTTAGTGTGTCTCAGAGTGCCTCACAGTGTCTCAGAGTGCCTCACAGTGTCTCAGAGTGTCTCACAGTGTCTCAGAGTGTCTTAGTGTGTCTCAGTGTGTCTCACAGTGTCTCAGCGTGTCTCAGAGTGTCTCAGTGTGTCTCAGCGTGTCTCACAGTGTCTCAGAGTGTCTCAGCGTGTTTCACAGTGTCTCAGTTTGTCTCAGTGTGTCTCAGCGTGTCTCACAGTGTCTCAGTGTGTCTCAGCGTGTCTCACAGTGTCTTAGAGCGTTTCAGAGTGTCTCAGAGTGTTTCAGTGTCTCAGTGCGTGTCAGTAGTGTCTCTCTCAGAGTGTCTCAGTGTGTCTCAGCGTGTCTCACAGTGTCTCAGAGTGTCTCACAGTGTCTCAGAGTGTCTCAGCATGTCTCACAGTGTCTCAGAGTGTCTCAGCGTGTCTCACAGTGTCTTAGAGCGTTTCAGAGTGTCTCAGAGTGTCTTAGTGTGTCTCAGCGTGTCTCAGAGTGTCTCACAGTGTCTCAGAGTGTCTCAGCATGTCTCAGAGTGTCTCAGTGTGTCTCAGCGTGTCTCACAGTGTCTCAGAGTGTCTCAGCATGTCTCACAGTGTCTCAGAGTGTCTCAGCGTGTCTCACAGTGTCTCAGTTTGTCTCAGTGTGTCTCAGCATGTCTCACAGTGTCTCAGTGTGTCTCAGCGTGTCTCACAGTGTCTCAGTGTGTCTCAGCGTGTCTCACAGTGTCTTAGAGCGTTTCAGAGTGTCTCAGAGTGTCTTAGTGTGTCTCAGCGTGTCTCACAATGTCTCAGTGTGTCTCAGCGTGTCTCACAGTGTCTCAGAGTGTCTCACAGTGTCTCAGTGTGTCTCAGCGTGTCTCACAGTGTCTCAGTGTGTCTCAGCGTGTCTCACAGTGTCTTAGAGCGTTTCAGAGTGTCTCAGAGTGTCTTAGTGTGTCTCAGCGTGTCTCACAGTGTCTCAGCGTGTCTCACAGTGTCTCAGTGTGTCTCACAGTGTCTCAGAGTGTCTCACAGTGTCTCAGAGTGTCTTAGTGTGTCTCAGAGTGTCTCACAGTGTCTCAGAGTGTCTCAGAGTGTCTTAGTGTGTCTCAGTGTGTCTCACAGTGTCTCAGAGTATCTCACAGTGTCTCAGAGTGTCTTAGTGTGTCTCAGTGTGTCTCAGCGTGTCTCAGAGTGTCTCACAGTGTCTCAGAGTGCCTCACAGTGTCTCAGAGTGTCTCACAGTGTCTCAGAGTGTCTTAGTGTGTCTCAGTGTGTCTCACAGTGTCTCAGCGTGTCTCAGCGTGTTTCACAGTGTCTCAGTTTGTCTCAGTGTGTCTCAGCGTGTCTCACAGTGTCTTAGAGCGTTTCAGAGTGTCTCAGAGTGTCTCACAGTGTCTCAGAGTGTCTCAGCATGTCTCAGAGTGTCTCAGTGTGTCTCAGCGTGTCTCAGCGTGTCTCACAGTGTCTCAGAGTGTCTCACAGTGTCTCAGAGTGTCTCAGCATGTCTCACAGTGTCTCAGAGTGTCTCAGCGTGTCTCACAGTGTCTTAGAGCGTTTCAGAGTGTCTCAGAGTGTCTTAGTGTGTCTCAGCGTGTCTCAGAGTGTCTCACAGTGTCTCAGAGTGTCTCAGCATGTCTCAGTGTGTCTCAGCGTGTCTCACAGTGTCTCAGAGTGTCTCAGCATGTCTCACAGTGTCTCAGAGTGTCTCAGCGTGTCTCACAGTGTCTCAGTTTGTCTCAGTGTGTCTCAGCATGTCTCACAGTGTCTCAGTGTGTCTCAGCGTGTCTCACAGTGTCTTAGAGCGTTTCAGAGTGTCTCAGAGTGTCTTAGTGTGTCTCAGCGTGTCTCACAATGTCTCAGTGTGTCTCAGCGTGTCTCACAGTGTCTCAGAGTGTCTCACAGTGTCTCAGTGTGTCTCAGCGTGTCTCACAGTGTCTCAGTGTGTCTCAGCGTGTCTCACAGTGTCTTAGAGCGTTTCAGAGTGTCTCAGAGTGTCTTAGTGTGTCTCAGCGTGTCTCACAGTGTCTCAGTGTGTCTCACAGTGTCTCAGAGTGTCTCACAGTGTCTCAGTGTGTCTCAGCGTGTCTCACAGTGTCTCAGTGTGTCTCAGCGTGTCTCACAGTGTCTTAGAGCGTTTCAGAGTGTCTCAGAGTGTCTTAGTGTGTCTCACAGTGTCTCAGAGTGTCTCAGCATGTCTCACAGTGTCTCAGAGTGTCTCAGCGTGTCTCACAGTGTCTTAGAGCGTTTCAGAGTGTCTCAGAGTGTCTTAGTGTGTCTCAGCGTGTCTCACAGTGTCTCAGTGTGTCTCACAGTGTCTCAGAGTGTCTCACAGTGTCTCAGTGTGTCTCAGCGTGTCTCACAGTGTCTCAGTGTGTCTCACAGTGTCTCAGAGTGTCTCACAGTGTCTCAGTGTGTCTCACAGTGTCTCAGAGTGTCTCAGAGTGTCTTAGTGTGTCTCAGCGTGTCTCACAGTGTCTCAGTGTGTCTCACAGTGTCTCAGAGTGTCTCACAGTGTCTTAGTGTGTCTCAGCGTGTCTCACAGTGTCTCAGAGTGTCTCACAGTGTCTCAGCATGTCTCACAGTGTCTCAGTGTGTCTCAGCGTGTCTCACAGTGTCTCAGTGTGTCTCAGCGTGTCTCACAGTGTCTTAGAGCGTTTCAGAGTGTCTCAGAGTGTCTTAGTGTGTCTCACAGTGTCTCAGAGTGTCTCAGCATGTCTCACAGTGTCTCAGAGTGTCTCAGCGTGTCTCACAGTGTCTCAGTTTGTCTCAGTGTGTCTCAGCATGTCTCACAGTGTCTCAGTGTGTCTCAGAGTGTCTCAGCGTGTCTCACAGTGTCTCAGAGTGTCTTAGTGTGTCTCACAGTGTCTCAGAGTGTCTCAGCATGTCTCACAGTGTCTCAGAGTGTCTTAGTGTGTCTCACAGTGTCTCAGAGTGTCTCAGCGTGTCTCACAGTGTCTCAGTTTGTCTCAGTGTGTCTCAGCATGTCTCACAGTGTCTCAGTGTGTCTCAGCGTGTCTCACAGTGTCTCAGTGTGTCTCAGCGTGTCTCACAGTGTCTTAGAGCGTTTCAGAGTGTCTCAGAGTGTCTTAGTGTGTCTCAGCGTGTCTCACAGTGTCTCAGTGTGTCTCAGCGTGTCTCACAGTGTCTCAGAGTGTCTCACAGTGTCTCAGTGTGTCTCACAGTGTCTCAGTGTGTCTCAGCGTGTCTCACAGTGTCTCAGTGTGTCTCAGCGTGTCTCACAGTGTCTTAGAGCGTTTCAGAGTGTCTCAGAGTGTCTTAGTGTGTCTCAGCGTGTCTCACAGTGTCTCAGTGTGTCTCAGCGTGTCTCACAGTGTCTCAGAGTGTCTCACAGTGTCTCAGTGTGTCTCACAGTGTCTCAGTGTGTCTCAGCGTGTCTCACAGTGTCTTAGAGCGTTTCAGAGTGTCTCAGAGTGTCTTAGTGTGTCTCAGCGTGTCTCAGAGTGTCTCACAGTGTCTCAGTGTGTCTCAGAGTGTCTCACAGTGTCTCAGAGTGTCCCTGTCTCTTGCAGACATGTCTTCCATAAGGTGTGTGTGGATCCTTGGCTGAATGAACACTGCACCTGTCCCATGTGCAAACTCAACATCCTCAAAGCCCTGGGCATCATGGTGAGTCACCGCTGACATCACACCTGAGGACAGGTGTGATGTCATCAGCAGCTGTGCGACATGTGTGATGGATGACTGTGTCCCTCTGGCCTCTGTCTCAGACCAGTCTGCCCTGTGTGGACGCTGTGGTTCTGGATGTGGACCGACTGGGTGACGGTCAGACATCCGGCAGCCAGAGGGCACCGCTGAGCGACCAGAACCAGCCGTCCATCAGCCTGGAGCCGCTCAGCCCCACCCATGCTGAGACCGCGCCCAGAACGCCCGCCGACATCACCGTGGCCGTAACCAGTAAGAACCCAGAAGAAGATCAGAACGCTTCAACTTCACTGCAGAGCAACACGTCTAATCAATACGTCTGATCAATACGTCTAATCAATACGTCTAATCAATACGTCTAATCAATACGTCTAATCAATACGTCTAATCAATACGTCTGATCAATACGTCTGATCAATACGTCTGATCAATACGTCTGATCAATACGTCTGATCAATACGTCTAATCAATACGTCTAATCAATACGTCTGATCAATACGTCTGATCAATACGTCTGATCAATACGTCTGATCAATACGTCTAATCAATACGTCTAATCAATACGTCTGATCAATACGTCTGATCAATACGTCTAATCAATACGTCTAATCAATACGTCTGATCAATACGTCTGATCAATACATGAACCAACAAACTTCAGGCTCATCCATGCAATAAATTGAGAAACTTTAAACTGATGCTGCAGTTTCACACCAAACTGCAGCATCACATGCAGCATCACATGCAGCATCACATGCAGCATCACATGCAGCATCACATGCAGCATCACATGCAGCATCGTACTGACGTGTAAAAGTTCAACAACTTTGAATGATTTTAAATCCAAACAACCAGAACTTGATGTGAAGTAGCTCAGATGCTAACGGCTACGTCTATCGATAGGTCCAGGTAAAGAGCTGCTCCGTTCACCTGTTCAGGTACTGATGACCCGGTTTACCTCCAGAGCTGCAGCTCTGCTCAGAGTCACCATGGATTGGGTCCTGGTTCTGGTTCTGGTTCTGGTACCGGTTCTGATGTTTTCTGCCTCTGCAGGTGGAGGTCACTTCTTCAACAGGCGCTCCGCGTCTCCTCGGAGCATCGCCTGTGAGGTGGAGCTGCCGGACATGCAGGCGTCGCTCCATCTCCACGACGACAACAAGTCCTGAGACCGGTCGCCATGGTTACAGCCGCACGCCAACACCGATCCCCCTGCCGGCGGCGGCGGCGGCGTCCTGCCAGGGGGGTTCTTGTTGGAGAGCGACCGCCTTCAGCCACTGAAAGACTTTACTGACATTCCCAACAATCCCAAGTTTCAAACTCTGGTCCTGTTCCTTTAAAGCTCCTCTCCTGTTTCTGGATCAGAACCGCCCGGCCTCACTTCTCAGTGTCTGTGGAAATGACCAGGATGTAAAACGTTCAGGGTCCCACATGTTCTAGATGCTAAAGAACTGAAAAGCCAAAACGTTCCGGTAAAGACGCTGGGAATGTTTTCTTGTGCCTGAAGAGATTTGTGTCTCCTGCTAAAAGGTTCTAACTTCCAGAAATGCTTCCTTATGCTGAGCCTCGGTTCTGAAAATGATGCTGTTTTTTCTGGATCAGTAACTCAAGACCTGACCAGTTTCTACAAACCTTTAATCAAGGAATCAGCAGATCAGGAACGTCTGAAACCTTCCTTTGGGGCGGAGCTCTGCCTGCTGGAGGGGCGGAGCTCTGCCTGCTGGAGGGGCGGAGCTCTGCCTGCCGGAGGGGCGGAGCTCTGCCTGCCGGAGGGGCGGAGCTCTGCCTGCCGGAGGGGCGGAGCTCTGTCTGCCGGAGGGGCGGAGCTCTGCCTGCCGGAGGGGCGGAGCTCTGCCTGCTGGAGGGGCGGAGCTCTGCCTGCTGGAGGGGCGGAGCTCTGCCTGCCGGAGGGGCGGAGCTCTGTCCTGGAGGGGCGGAGCTCTGCCTGCTGGAGGGGCGGAGCTCTGTGTGCTGGAGGGGCGGAGCTCTGCCTGCCGGAGGGGAGGAGCTCTGTCCTGGAGGGGCGGAGCTCTGCCTGCTGGAGGGGCGGAGCTCTGTGTGCTGGAGGGGCGGAGCTCTGTGTGCTGGAGGGGCGGAGCTCTGTGTGCTGGAGGGGCGGAGCTCTGCTGGAGATTGGGGCTTCAGGGACCGTATTCCTTCCTGTTCTAAAACATTTCTGGTGTTCTAGCAGGAAATCCCGGTGAGGACGCTCCCTTCAGGGACGGACTGCTGCTTTCAAGTGTATTCTGAATTACTCAGCGTGTATTAATACTTATAATCAGTATATAAACAGCATTAAAGAATCTATAATCCGATTGATTCAGCAGTAATAAGTGACCTGAAAATGTCCGGAGACACCGAGGTGCTGTCCACATCTCTCTGTCTGTCCCTGTCTGTCTCTGATGATGATGGTGATGATGGGGGTCCTCTGTGTGTTTACTGCTGCAGCATCACGTCTGATTAAACGTCATTAAAGCGTCTGCTGCATTCACTGCAGTTCGTCTCCTTCTTTCTGGAAGTTCATCCGTCAAAACTTCCCAGGAGAATCATTCACATTAAAATCAGTTCACTGAGAGAAAAAGAGCAACTTTTGGATTTACTCTGTAGAGACTTCTAGAACTTCAGATTTTTATCAAACTAAAACATTTGCAGCATCTCTATGAAGTTGGATTTAAGCTCTACTCTCCACATGCAAAGGCCACTTTTAATCAGTTACGGTTAGAGCTGCAAACATTGATTTTTGTCAAACATGTTTCCACTAAAGCTTCTATTGTTGACATGAGGAGCAGCCATGTTGGATTTTTAAGTCAATTTTTTCAAGGTTGACATCAGGGAGGTACTTTCAGTTGATTTTTCTGACTCATAAATAGGATTTTCTGAGTTCAGTTGGAATGCAGCATAGGCTGCTGTTAGCATAACAGTTAATGTTAGCATATTTTAGCGTTAGTCCATAAATCTGAAACTGTTCACATCTTTGGATATGGCCACAAGCTAATATTAACATAAGATATGTATTAGCTTATGATGTCCTTAATTGCATAGATTACAGCTAGTTAACATGCTAGTATCTGCCAGTATGCTAATATTAGCAAATTAGTTAATCTTATAAGGTAAGCTAGTTATAACATTACCTGTTCGATATTATCACTTTAGGTTCTATTCACAATGTCTTATTTTTATGTTTAGCTAACATGCTAATCAATAACTTAGCTAATATTTGAGATGTTACATTTAACAACTACCATCTAAAATGTGTGTCTAAATGTTGAGTAATCAATCATGTTATTGGTTACTGGCCAGTGTTAGCATGTTAGCATGTTGATTGAAACGGTTCCTAATTGGACACCAGGGTTTCTTCAGAACCGCCTACTTGTTTCTGCATAAACTTTTCTTTTTTTCCAGCTGTCAAGATTTTTTTTTCTGTGAAACTTTTTTCCCTCAGTTTGTCCAGTAAAAGAATTTCATGATAATTTCTGTAACTTGAATCCCATGATTTGTCTAATTGATTTATTTTTACTGGTCAGGTTAAAACTTCTTCTCTTACAAACTCATTTTGCGGATCGATGCAGCGAATTCCTGATCATGAACAAGAAATATTAAATATGAAAAATATTGCATCGTCCGCCATATTGCGCTCGTGTTTCCCGTTAGAAACATGTTGACGTCATGTCGTACAGCACGTAGAAGGCGTGGCCTGACGTGTCACACCCGGAAGTGATGCAGAGTCATCAGACTCGCTGAAAACAACAGAGCCAGGACCTGACAGAACCTGGTTCCGGGTCTTTGGGTCAGCGCAGCGGGCCGCCATGTGGATCGAACCGGAGGAGGTTCTGCTGGCCGGGGCTCTGTGGGTCTCGGAGCGGGCCAACCCGTTCTTCATCCTGCAGAGGAGGAGGGGGCACGGCCGCGGAGGGGGGCTGTCCGGTAGGTCCGGTTCTGTTCGGTTCTGTCTGAGGGCTGCTCGGTCCGGTCCGGTTCCACTGATGGACACCGTTCTGGCAGAACCACCAGGTAATGCTAAGCAGAACCGGGTCGGTTCGGTTAGCCTGGTGGATCTCCATGGCAACACCAGGCGCGGTTCCGGATCGTTAGATGCAGAACCAGAAACCCGGTTCCGGACGGGCGCTGACGTCACGAGGGCTCAGCTGACTTGGTTGAGTTCCTGGTAACCCAACAGGTGGTTTATGTTTCACCCTGTGAGGTCAAAGGTCACTACAGGAACCTGCCAGTGTCCGCCAGTCCCTAGAACCAGAACCAAGAACACTCGGTTCCTTATGGACCGTTCTAGTGCCCTATGTTGACTGGGGCACCGAGGGGTGGAGGTCATGGGGTCATGGGTCGATATGTAGAGTTGGATGTCTTCAGCGTAAGGTAGAAGTTGTTGTAGTACCGTCTAATCTGCGCTAGAGGGCGCTGCAGCGGGGAGGTCCTGAAGGCGTCTCCTGGTGTCTCTGCAGGCCTCCTGGTGGGGACGCTGGACGTGGTTCTGGACTCCAGCGCCAGGGTGGCTCCCTACAGGATCCTGCTGCAGACCGCCGACTCCCAGATCTACTGGAACATCGCCTGTGGTGAGCAGGAGGACTGGGAGGACTGGGGGGACTGGGGGGACTGGGAGGACTGGGAGGACTGGGTGGACTGGGAGGACTGGGTGGACTGGGTGGACTGGGAGGACTGGGTGGACTGGGAGGACTGGGTGGACTGGGAGGACTGGGGGGACTGGGGGGACTGGGAATGTTCTGGATGTGTTTTCCGAGTTCTGCTTCCTTCTCGTCTTCAGGTTCCTCCAGGAAGGAAATCACGGAGCACTGGGATTTCCTGGAATCCAACCTGCTGCAGACCATCTTCATCTTCGACAACGATGAAGACGTCATCACCTTCGTCAAAGGGAAGATCTCGGTACGTCTCCGCCGGTTTGGTTCGCTGGGATGTGTTCCTGTCTGCTTAGTGATGTCACTTCCTGCAGGGCATCATCGCGGAGGAGAAGCGGCTGAAGCGGAGCGAGGAGCAGGAAGAGAACAGCGGGAAGTTCCTGGAGGCGGAGCTGAAGATGCGGAAGCTGTTTGGGATGCCGGAGGAGGAGAAGCTGGTCAACTATCACTCCTGCAGCTACTGGAAGGGGCGTGTCCCGCGCCAGGGCTGGCTCTACCTGTCCATCAACCACCTGTGCTTCTACTCCTTCCTGCTGGGGAAGGAAGGTACCGTCAGCCAATCGCACGCCGGCGTTAACTTGTCCGCAGCGATGGCTGACGTGTCGCCGCTGTCCGATCCGCTCAGTGACGCTGGTGGTGCCGTGGACCGAGGTGACCCAGCTGGAGAAGAACGCCACGCTGGTGTTCCCGGAGAGCGTCCGCGTGAGCACCCGGAACGCCGAGCATTTCTTCTCCATGTTCCTGAACGTCAACGATGCCTTCAAGCTGATGGAGCAGCTCGCCAACATCGCCATGCGCCAGCTGCTGGACAACGAGGCGTTCGCCGCCGACCGCTCGCTGCCCAAGGCCTGCAAGACGCTGAAGAACGTCTCTGCCCTGAAGAGGTCTCACTCTGAGCGTTTTCTCTGTGCCCAAACGCTCTGACCGCATCGGCCGCGTTCTGTCTGCAGGGACTTCGACGCCCGGGCCAAGAACGAGCGGTACCGGTCCATGTTCCGGCTGACGCGGGACGAGCGGCTGGACGGACACACGGACTGCACGCTGTGGACGCCGTTCGCCAAGATGCACGTGGTGGGCCAGCTGTTCATCTCCAACAACTACATCTGCTTCTGCAGCAGAGAGGAGGAGCTGTGCCAGCTCATCATCCCGCTCAGAGAGGTGAGCCCGGAAAGCAGCAGAACCGGAACTGGAAAGCAGCAGAACCGGGCCGATTCTTGCTGCGACTGCAGTGGACGGAACCGTCATGAGATGTTCTGATGTTTCGCTACACCCTCAGTCTGGCGTTTCCAGATTTCCCATCAGCCCTTGCAGTTCCAGAAGTGAGGACTCTGCTGTCAGTCAACAGGAAGGAGAAGATGAGCGTTAGCAATAGCTTCAGCTAATGATTTTACGTGTTTAGCAGTTTAATAGCCAAGACTCTAATTAGCGGTTAGTGAACATAGCACTAGCTATTCCCAAATAGCTAGTGCTAATTTTGTTCCAGACAAGTACGGCGGCCATTTTGAAAAGGGCTAAAATCTTTTAGGTAAAAAGCAAACCTTCATGTGGAAGCTGCTGGTCCCACGTGTTCTTGGTCTGCAGCTTTTGGAGACGATTGTCCTGTAATTTACCCATGATCCTCTGCTCCTCAGGTGACCATCGTGGAGAAGGCGGACAGCAGCAGCGTCTTGCCGTCTCCCGTCTCCATCAGCACCAAGAACAAGATGAACTTCCTGTTCGCCAACCTCAAAGACAGGGACTTCCTGGTTCAGCGGATCTCAGACTTCCTGCAGCGGACGCCGGACGGCTCGTGGAGCGACACCAATCCGCTGTCTCTGATTGGCTCCCCCGGTACGCCAGGCTTGGCTGTCAGAACCTTGTGGTTCTGGTTCTGTCTCACGTCTGTCTGTTCCCAGGGCTCCACCGGCGTCCTCCAACCCGCAGGAGCCGACTCCGCCCACCAGGGGCGCCATTACCACGGCGGCCTGCCCACCGCTCAGCAGGGCCTGCTGCGGCTGTACCAGCAGGACGGCCCGGAGGACCTCGGCCCGAAAGCTGTGAGTACGATTCCCGGTGCGAGGCGGGGCGCCGGGAGACGCTGACCCGTCCTCCGTCCCGCAGATGAAGGAGCGGATGAAGGAGGAGGCGTGGAACATTCACTTCTCCGAGTTCGGCGGGGCGTCTGCATGTACAGAACCTCCAGAACCCGAGAGCTGGTTCTGAACGGGATCCCGGAGCGCCTGAGGGGGGAGCTGTGGCTGCTGTTCTCCGGTCCGTCCCCGTTCCGCTTCCTGTCCCCGCTTCCTGTCCCTGTCTCCGTTTACCCGTCTCCTCCCGTCTCTGCAGGCGCTCAGAACGAGATGGCCGCTCACCCTGGTTACTATGGCGACCTGGTGGAGCAGGCCACGGGCCTCTGCTCATTGGCCGCCGAGGAGATCGAGCGCGACCTCCATCGCTCGATGCCCGAGCACAGAGCCTTCCAGAACGAGACGGGCATCGCCGCGCTGCGCCGCGTCCTGACCGCCTACGCCCACGCAACCCCAACATCGGCTACTGCCAGGTACTCGGCCAGAACCCGACCAGAACCCGATCAGAACCCGGCCAGAACCCGGGACCTGCAGGTTTTATGAGCCTCAGGTTCAAAACGCTGGAATGAATCGGCTTCGTTTCCTCCAGTGTGAAGCTCAGATCCTCAGAGCCTTAATGGCTCATCTGAAGGTCGCAGGGCAGCCAGTGACCCCTGAGGACTGGAGTTTGACCCTGGAGTTTGAGCATCGTGTTTGTAAATAATGTGTAGATGCTTGTTTGAGTCTATAGACAATATTGATGCTGTCGCTGAGGATGAACAGAAATTTGAGCTCTAATGTT